GTGTCTTTGATATCGTCACTTGGGATACATAAATACATGTGAAATTTATGTTAAAATGCCATAGAGTTGTTTTTGCTTTGACTGAGGTTGAAATAGTTTTGTGGTATAGACATTTGAACCAGGAAGCTGTTAGTCACACACAATTTCTATTGCTAAATACTACTTTGTATACTAACTTATAAAAAATTTATATAATATATTAATAAGCTATTTTGTTTTGAATTATACTTGCAAGTAACAACCACAAGATAATTAAGAAAATTATGCAATAAGTAATAGTACTGGTAATAGTAATGGTATTGGTAATTTTAGTATTACTGGTAAGTGTAATGGTATTGGTATTAAAAATAGTAATTGTAATTGAATGATAATGGTAATGATAATATTAAATAAGTAATGGTACTGGTAATGGTAATGATAATATTAAAAAAGTAATGGTACTGGTAGTGGCATTGTTATTGGTAATGACAATGGTATTGGCAATTTAAATAGTATCGGTAAGTGTAATGGTACTGGTAATAAAAATAATATTCGTAATTGAGTTATAATGGTAATGATAATATTAAATTGTTTTACGATGTATAACAGTCTTGGACGTTCAAAACATTTAGAAACCTTAAAACTAACAATATTCATTGTAATTACAAAATAAATAAGTGAGTAATTAAATAAGTAATTAGCACTGAAGTTTAAAATTCGCTCTTTAAAAATTTTGCTTTTACAAGGTTGAAAGTAATCGTAATACTATTGGCAGTAATAATGAAAATTTTAAAAGTAATGATATTAGTAATTATAAAAAATATAATTATTTATTTTAACGGTAATGACGAAGGTAGCTGAAGTGTAATACACCCATTGTAATGGTGTACTTTTGCGGGAACTATAAAAAAAACAGTATACTTGCAAAAAAAAAAATTTTTGGTAATTATGGATATAATCTAATCTGTATAGAAATGCATTATCTAATAAATTTACATCTTACAATGCTAAAAATCATTCAAGTAAGAAACGATGGAAATGTATAAATTATTATAACTGTAGCGCTACTTATACTGGTACTTGGAAACATACTGATTTTAAGCAAATAATAGCGGTACTGTTAATAAATATATATGTATGAGTAGATATAGTACTTACAGTATGCATTGCAGTAAGTAATTAAAATACGTTACGGCTACTAAGTTATTTAAACTAATTACCGACTCACTCTGAAACTCACGAATTTCCGATTTTCCTTAAAAATCACAGAATACTGTTAAATTTATTTAATGAATATAGGCGTTTATTCAAGGTACATAAAAATTAGCAAAACAAAATATGTCATAGCTTTTTTTTATAATTAATTGTTGACATCGTTTCCATGGTTGTGTGCGCATATATATACAATATATCAGAGAACCATTTATAGCATGTAATACTTTAGAGTAAACGAAGTGTCTTTCAGCCTTTCCCACGTCAAACAAGGAATGCCCAACCACATAGGTCCCTATGACGGCAGATGTATATAGTATTTATATAAAAAAATTTCTGAAAATAAAACGACTTTTTATATGAACATACATATAATATTATATATAACTAAATAGTCCCATAATGCCTGCCTTTATTGAGTTGTTGGCGCTAGCGTTGGCGGCATTTACCGGGTATGTGTGTATTTTGTTGGCAAAACAGTAGCTGGCCGGCTTTATATTGCTGACGTTTTGTACAGTTCACATTTAGACTTGCACTGAAAGCGTCATGTCATGTCTCTAGTGTTGTTTTGCTTTTGTTTGTGTGTTATTGACGCAGCCGTAACACAATTCCGTCAATCATGCGTCTACATTAGTTAGCAATTTCAGTTTGAATTGACGTATTTTGTTGTTTTTATATATTTATTAATATTCACATGGCGTATATGATGTAACTGGGTAAGGAGAAAAGGTTTAGACTTGTATGTGTAAAAACTATATATATCATAATACTCATACGATTTTTATTGTTTGGGAAATATTTTCGGTAGAGTTTTACGATTTTTTCAATATTTATATACCCATAATAAATTCGTTTACAGTTATTGAATAGAACCGTTCTATATGCCATAAACTTATTACGAATAAAGGGAATTTATCAAATTATGCGGTAGTTAACTTTAGATCGTTATCGTTAAGCAGCATACGTGCTTCGGAATACTTTGTAGTACTCATTACAATATCAATTACAAGTATTTTGGCAATTTTATTGTGTACTAATGGAAACAACATTCAGAATTATATTAGTAGTGTTAATTGTAATCAAGGCGGTATGCTTATGGACAGTTTAAATGTAACTGGATTAATTAATGTAATGATTACAGTAATTATAAATTACTTAAGTGGTAATAATATAAATATTAACAACTCACTGAGTGGTAATGTTAGCTATAAAAGTAATTATAGTTTTTTTCCTCATGATAATTGCTATTCTAATGGTAATGTGAATAAAAAGAAACATATAATGGTTATAAATATGATTACCATATGACTTATGCCGATATCAATTGAACTTAAATTAATGCAAATAATGTTTACAGTATTTGGAATTGAACTTAATATAAATATTTGTAACTAATGGAGTGGTAATGCTAACTACAAAAGTAATTATCAAGATAATTGCTAATATAATGGTAATATGAATAATAATGAAAAATATAATGGTAAAAACTTGATTATTGTATGATTTATGACCAAATCAATTAGAATTCGAATAATAAAAGTAATCATTACAGTATTTGTAAGTGAACTTAATATAAATATTAGCAACTCACGGCGTGATATTGCCAACTATAAATGTGAGTGGAGTTACATGTATTCCCCAATATAATTGTTCGAAAGAATAATGAAAAAGTTAAAGGTAATCGTATAAAAATGGTAGCTGTAATGGTTATGTTTATTTCAACTCATAAAATTAAAAGTAAAACAGGTAATTGTAGTAATGGCGATGATTGTACTGAAAGAATATAGCCACTGAAAGAAAATTTAATTAACAGAATTTAGAATCTGTTACGAAAAACGCTATACTAACGAAACTGACAAAAAAAACTATGCATAAATTTTTTTTTTTTTAATGTTATATAAGAGTTATAACTTTCGACCTTCCTCCATAAAGTGAAGTGAACGCTTTCAATTGACGCCTTACAAAATTAATAAAAATGCACATCACATAAAATTTAATTTCATAATTCGTTCAGCAAAGTCATAAGAAATATTATTAAAATCACATTAACCTAATTCAATGTGCGTAAACAGTTATATCTTTTTTTTATCTTACAAAGATTATAGACACTGTACGTGCCACAAAGGCACACCCACGCCAATGGTAGGCGGGCATAAATCAGAAAAAGAAATAAAAAGCAAGAAATGTTGAATCAAAAATTAAAAAAAAAACAACTTAGATACGAATCGACATATTAAAAAATAAAGCAAAGAACGGTGCTTTCATTCATGCAATTATTCAACGCAGCGCTTATGTAAGCGTGCAAAGCGTGTACAATGATTTTGCTCGCAAGCTGAAAGGCATATCGATAGCAAAAATCAAAGTAAAAACTCGTGTGAGTTCATTGTAAAACAATCAACGCCAGCAGCGGGAGGCAAATAGCTCACTGTTGGCCTCACACACACACACAGTTGTACATATATATATAGTCACATAAAAAACTACACATTTATACATAACGTATACCTTTTATATACATACACACATAAACACCGTGTTAAATCTTCGTATCAAAAATTCGAAATATGAATTGGTATGAAATTAATGTCTGTCATGTTGTACATAAATTCATGCTGTGCCAGTGTAGCCAATGAAAGCACAGAAGTGGCAAGAAGCGCGGCACGCACGTGCATATTTACATAACAGCTAATATGTGGGTGTGTTAGTGCACTGTTAAACACTTGTTTGCATAAGTAAGAAGTTTGGGTAAAGTGTGGACTAGAGTCGAGTCCTTGTTCGGCACATCGATCATCGGTGGTCATGAATTATATATACACATATGTTTGTATGCATGTTGCATGTTGTTACCAGCAAATGTCATTTCGAAGCTATTAAAGCATTAATGTGCGAGCGCTAATAATTCATGGCTTATTAGTCATACAAACAATTTGTAAGTGTGCTTTTGGCATATGTGGGGTAGTGCGAGGTCTATGCAGTGCCAAAAGTAAATCAAAAACAAAACTATTAAAATGTTGTACTAGCCAAGGTAAATAAGTCACAAATTAATAGTCTTAACAACTTCTCCAGTCTTTCGCTTTAGGAAAATATGAGTACTTCACATTCACCTCCTAGTGTCTCTAAGCAAAGCATATGTATTTAAATTTCAGTCCAGCGGATGTTTATTAGCTACCGATTTCTATACAATCGTTCCATGAATAGTTATGGCGCATTCTTTGACATGGTTTATGTCTTCATGAGGTCTTTCATATTCATCCTATTAATATAGTGAACTCTACAAAATATGAGAAAATCGAAGACTGTCTAATGAGATATTCAACGATTTTTAAGTTATCTATTCACTAATGACTACCCATAAGCTACCTGGAACTCTCAATAAACTGCTCTTTGTCAGGCCGCTCAAAACAAATTGAGCTCTAGTTAGAACCCGATGAATAACTGCTTAGACTGCGAAAATATAGAAAGAAGAGGCACATAAATGCTGAAAATTTTGAGGACTTCACAGAGGTAACGAGGAATACAGATTTATCTGAGAAAGTAAAGCAAATCGTAAAAGTATACTTTGTTCATGAGAAGAATGTTATGGAAATTGATTTTTTTTATGTAAATCACCGACTTCGCTTATTTATAATATTTCCAATTATAAAATTATAGTCTATCTACTTTAGTAATCAATACATATTAAAAAAGTTTTTTTTTTCTTTTCTAAGTTTTCAACAAATTTATTATAGTAAGTCTATTCACTTCTAATTCATCTTCTTAATTCTAATGCTTTTTTCTTTTTGCATTTCTTTGCGTGCGCATTATTTCAGATTATTGACTCTTGATTTATGATAAAGCTTGAGCCGCTCACTTCTTACGCCTTCAACAGCCGAAAACGGCCTCTGGCACTCTGGTAAGTAAATAATATTTTGTTTGTTATGTTTGGTGTTTCTATAAATTTGAGCGATGTTAGCAACACCCGTTTGCGGGTGCTAAGTAACGCGTGCGCAGAACAACGAAAACGAGCAATGAGTGTACCAGCCAAAGGCGTTAGTCAAGTGATTTGTTCTGAGTATTTGTAAAGGTGTTTGAGGCATGTTAAGCTGTTAAGCGATACAGTGAGAAAACTTATGTTATTGTATATATTGTAGAAATAAACACTTGTGTCACAGAATAAGCAGGGGAGTGGTTATGAAAGCCACTGAGCTGAAAGGTGAGAAAGGCATTTAGCTTTTGTGTGGAGAAATGTGTCGCTTTTGCTGTTGCTCTTTCGCAATAAAGTAGCAGTAGTTTTGTGATAAATGAAGGTAGCGAAAAGTCAATATTTATAGTGAATAGTATGATAACTCAACAAGTTATAGCAATTTATTTAGATTTATTCTTTCTTTCTTTTGCGGCAAGAAAAAATTGCAAAAATAAACTTTTGAAATGTAAATATTTTTATGCTTTCTTTACTTTGATATTAAAAAAAAAAAAAATTTTCAGATCATGCAATAAGATTATTATATGCACATATGTATACATATATAAAATATTTTTATGTATTAATTATTTTCATATTTTTTTAAATTTTTTCTTTTGACGCATTCTTTTTGTTCCTAGGCCGTTGAACTCTTCAGCAGATGCTAATCAGTTTCGACACCCAAAATTAAATTAAAATAAACTTTTTCATATAATTACAGTAGAATAAGCTATTTTTTTCAACCAGAAAAAGTAACCAATAATTACCTTTCATTGACGGTGTTTTGCATAAGCCGTCCGCAGATCTGAGCGCGATGAAGAGTTCGATGTATTGGAAATACTGAAATACTTCGAATAAACGCGCATATTTAAGTAGAAAAATTATACAAAACTTATATTTAAAAGTAGAGGCAGCATATTATTTAACTTGCATGAGTAAAAAGAAATCCAAAAAATTTGGTTATATAGATAAATATAGGCATTAGTGTTTGCATGCCTCACAAGTGTAGGTGCGGACTTTCAAGCGTTTGAAAGAACATCAAAAAAAAAAAAAACAAATCAAGCAAAAAGTTATCGCAGCAAATATATATAATTTTTGTTTTTGTAATAAGGATTGAGACGCTTTACAATTTGGAAGTTTTGAAAAAATCTGCGCGCTGCTTATTTTTGAGGTTAGGATGTATACGGCATATCCTTCAAAAAATGAAATTTTCTACTGTTTATGCATACATTACTTTTTCACTTATGAAAAAAAATATTATTATATGTAAAGAAAGAATTTAAGATAAATACAAAGAGATAGACGATATATTTGATATTCTATATATATATATATATATAGGTATATAATATAAATATATATCTATATATATATAGACTCAATCGAGCACTCGTCAAGTCCGGAGCGAATATTTGAGTCGCTGATTTAGCATGGAGTCAAGTCTAATGAATAATATGGCTTTGCTCTCACGGCAGTCGATTCCACGTAACCGGAACAGATAAACATTTTAATTTGGCCAAGAAATGTCATCTTGACAACTAACCTCAAAATGATTGGTAAAGAGTTACTGTTACTACAAAAACAACAACTACAACAATAAGCTGCTAAAACGATGACTTCTATTTGTTTTTGTTGAGAAGAATATCTTTTAATAGCTTTCTATGCAGCGTTTTTGCATGAAGGAAGCTGTTTTTGTACTCGTCTATTCCTCCAGTTCTTCCATGCTATTGTCATTAATAAAGATGGATTGACGATAAGTTTTGCTAAGACTTTTTTTATACAAAAAACCACTCTATATGCATTCTACAAATATACCAGATAAATATATCCAGTGCACAGTAAACAATTTTGTATAGTAGGGTGGAGCGAAAAAATTTTTTTTTTTTTTGCTAAGCCAGAGAGTAAAATCTGTAGATTATAAAAAAGAAAATTTTTGGAAAAAGAAAATTTTTTTTGTCCAAAAAAGTTTTTAAATAATAAATTTAAAATATAATATAATAATAAATTAAAAAAATTTTTTTTTAACATCTCAGTTTAAAAGTAAATTTTGAGTTAAAATTTTTTTTGAACAAGAAAAAATTATTTTTGGTTTAAACTCTTTACATTTATATAAAAATGACCAAATTTGACGGTTTTTGACTCAAAATTTATTTTAATGCGTAAGAAAAGCATGTTGTCGTTGAAGACTGTTTTTTTAAACTCCAATAATGACCACAAAATTTTTTTTTAAGTTGATAATTTTCAATTGGCTTAAAAGCTTCTGGAACACTTATCAAACATTTTTTACGAAATAAAAATTTTAACTCGAAAATTTACTTAAAACTGATGTTAAATAATTTTTTTTTTTATTTTGGTCCAAAAATTTTATATATTTATAATCTACAGACTTTACCCTCAAGCTACCCTATTGTGTAGCCAAGGTCTTCCCTCTGACTATAGCTTTAACAGAGGGAAAGTGACTTCACGGAAAGCAGAGTTGTTTTAGCGGTCTCTCTGGTTAAATGGCAAATAATCAAAAACTCCTTGTTTTTTACTTAGTGGCTGATATGTTACTTTGAATAATATTGAATTAGGTACAACAGTAACTAATGTTATAAATATACATATAAATAATTAATTATGCTCATGAATGTACACTTTAGAATCGAACTTTAATGGAGACAAAATTATTTAGCTGCTATTGCATCCAATGGCCTTTCCACCGTTTTTTTCCACGTGATCAATGCAAAATCTATGATCAGTGAGAATATCAAATTATCCAGTACAAGAATCATCGAGCTCCAGCACAATGCGAATAATTCGACGACAAATTATCAATGAAACTAAATCAGCGCCAAAAGTATATATTATTATTGTTTTAATGCACCACTGATTATGCGAAATTATTGCACATAATTGGCGCATGTCAACACCGCACACAACTGACAGCCAGACAGCCAGACATAGAGGCAATACACACACATAAACACAAACTGTGCGATAAGATTTAGCCAACTTTTACGATCAGCTAAGTTCAATAATTAATCCGCTTAAATATGATGATTGTAATTTTCCCGAGCACTTCTAAGTGCACGTGAATGCGGACAAAGCGTTGCAAGCAACGGCTGTGGCAATGGCATTGGCAAATAATGCCAGATATGCTGCACCATGACCATGATCATGACCATAGTCACGGCCAATGCTGTTGTGGCAAGCAGTTTTTTGCAGCGATTGTGTTTGTGTTGCGCGCAATATATCGCTGACGCATCTTTTCTGCTGCAGCGCTGCACAACTAATCGCATTGTGGCAATTACTAGGCATATCGGCGAGCATAGTGTGTTGGTCATTGCATTGTGGGTTTGTGTCTTAAGTCTTTCGTATGCATCCATATTGCTGTGTGTTTCTGAATATTTTGTTGTTGTTATTTTTTGCTCATTCACTCGCACATAGATATCTTAAGATTTTATTTGATTTTTAATTTCACATATATACAATATAAAGATGTTGCATGTGTCGCTGCGTTCTTCTTCGCATTGTTTTCTTCTTACATTTCCCTTTATGGCAGCATAGTTCTGAAGGCCGTTTCATCATCGTCGCCGTCACAAGTAACCAAAAGTCACTCTAGGCATGCGAATATGTAGTATATGCGCGTGGTCGTTGTCGTTCATACTGTTGCTTGTTGTATATATAGAACGCTTCTGCTCGCGCTTCGCTCTCCGTGGTGTCCGACAATAATTTCTTTTGGCTTTACTGGATTTTTCTTTACTTTACGGCTCGCTGGCGATTATGTGTGATAATCTCTGAAATTACTGCAGCCAGGCGCGTATTTAAATAACCTGCCATATTTGCCATTTGTAACGCCGGAGCGTCGCCATAAGGCACAGTGGTCAATTTTGAGTGTTCAGTGTGTTATAATTATTTTTTATTTTAAATAATTTAGTACTAATATGAGTTAATGAAAAAGCATATTTTTAATGTTTATTTAGGGTTGCCACCCCTATTAAATACGCCTGGATTATGTATAATTTTAAATCATCTTTGCATGTGCGCAGCCATGTAGTAAATTAAAATATATTATATATATATTAAAATATAATATATATATTAAAATATAATAATTGTTTAAAGTGGCAACTTCGCACTAACTTCTAATTTTTGCCACTTTTTCAAAATACTTACGCAGTTTTTAGTCATATTTAAAGATGTACAACAGAAATAATAATGGTTTTACTTATTTAGCTTATAATAGTTTACAATCGTATCTAAAGAGTCTTCAATGGTAACACTTTTTCGAAATTTATTTAGTTTAGTTTTTTTTTGTTTTTTTTTTTAATGTGTATCTACATATATGTATATGCTTTTGTATGAGAGAATGTATAGAATATAAAATTAAATTAAAAAAAAAGTTTTATATTTGATTTATAAGTGGCAACCCTAAAAAACATTTTGATGTATTCTTTAAAGGTAATTAATTTAGTATAATTCTTTTTAATTGCATAAATAAGAAAATGCGTAATCAGATTTTATTTAGGTGGCAACTCTATTAATAATATTTGTACACAAAATACCAATTTGGCGTATAAAGCGTCTACTTGTATAAAGCTGAAGCATATACCATGTGAGTAATTATGACGGTGGCAACTCTGCTTTCCGAATTCTTTCGAATTTAAATTGACGATAGTAGCTGGCTATGGCTTCTTCAAATATTATTTCTTCTAAAAAATTTTTCTTGTTAAAAATTTTTTTCGAATAACACATTCGTATAATACAAGTATGTGGCAACTTAATTTCAATAATTTTTCAAATTTATGTAAATAATATTTTTTTTAAACGTATTCCATAAACTCAATATAAATATAAAATATAATAAAAATGTAAATTTTCAATAAATATTAATGCTAATCACCCACAGTGGAACCCCTATAACCTTTCCCACCAATCCGCTTGCTATCTTTTTCTTTAAGCTATGCTTC